TGGCCCGCTGGGAGGAAGAAGGGTCCAGAGTTGGGGCCACGCTGCGTCAAGTAGATTTATGTGGCTGCTGCTATTTTGTCGTGCGGTGATGAGTTCCCTTTTTGATTTATTTTTGCCAAGAAAACTCACACAAAGGCAGTGGAGTTAACCCACGCAGGGCAGAAATGGAACATCTGTGCAGATAATATTTAAATCATGTAAGAAATTGGCCAAAACACCAAACTATAATATTTCCACACAATAAGTTTACAAGGGCTCTGCCTCAACCGTCAACCTTCACCGCAGAATTCAATTAAAGCGTTTTGCGTTTCACCTCAGGAATTAGGCTAACTAATTGGCCGCAGTCTGGGCCAGAAACCGAACGGGACGGGACGGAAAATAGCCGAGTAAAGGCAGCCTTTTTCAGTTAGACAAAGAGTGTGTCTGAAGGCGCTGAAAACTTTTAATAAATCCGCAAATTACTTTATAAGCAACTCGTTTTCGGGATGCTGCTTATTTTGTTTGCTTGGCCGGGTGGGGTCGGCCGAGCCGACTTGGCCAAGTTGGTTGGATGACAATAAGCGCGATAAGAACTTGGCATAAACAAGTCCAAAGCCGTAAAGTAGCATCAGCATCAGCACCAGCAGAGGGAGCGGGAAGGACACAAAATTAAGGCAGATGGCTGGCGGATGAAAGGAAAAATGCGTCCAGCCAGGATAACCCACACACAGCCCTGCCGCGTTGGCAATTTTTATTTAGCTTTTGTAAGTTAATTTGTGCACTATTGTCCTGCAGGACCCGCTAAATGAAACGTTTGCCTTTTGCACTTTCCTCCTCGTGGCTTTTCTCTTTTATTTATTTTTTCTTTTTAATGTAATTCAATTTCAATGAAATTTAATCGTCCGTACATGGCAGTGACCATCGCCCCTGCTCCTACTCCCTGCTCCTGCGTCCTTTTAACATTATTTGCGTCATTTTGTGGTGGTTAATTTCAGTGCAACGCTTTTACTATTCAATTATGTTGCCGCTTGTCGCCTCGTTCGCGGCATTTTTTATGCACTCTTGTTTATGATGAGAGCTGTTCCCTTCGAACTTCCTGCTCTATTGTCCTGCTAATGCCGGCCTCGTCCCGTTTGTCATCCTGTGTGTCCTGTCCTGTCCTGCCCCGAGCTGCTGTTGTTCTTTCCTTCTTTTTTCATTGTTATGAAAAATTAAATGGGCATAAATCATGCTAATGGCGCATTCAAAATTTATTATGCTTTAAAGCCCCGGCCGGCAACACAGAATCCACCAATCCGCCATCAACTTATTTATGTATTTGCAATTATTTCTGCACGAGGGTGGAATCAGTTCTACTATTGAATGGCTTTTTTAGTTTGTCCGCTGCGAGTTAGTACGGTTGATCTCATCTCGATTTCAATTAGATGATTGTTGGGATGTGAGGATATTTTAATGGGCTTCCCCCTCGAAAAGCTAGAAAAGCTGATGATGTCAGCGATGTCTTTTTTGTTTTGGGGGGAACAGTTTCTACTTGCAATGGAAAGTAATAGAGAAATAATTGAATTGGATCGGTTTTCCTGAAATTTAATGTTGAACTTTTCGTAGTGGAAATATGTATAACTCTGCTAATACTTGCCAGATTTAGTTCAGCTATGCCTTCCCGATCTTGTCTTTTAGAGCATTATCTGCCTTAAAAAACTGAAAACTAAAATTATAACCCGATTTCTCTATTTGTCAGACTTGCAATAGAATCATAAATTTAACAAAAATACCTTCTACCTAAAAATAGTATTCTTTTATTGGCTTTTGTTTACCATTTCCATTTTAAATTGAAAATGCTAGAGTTATCTGTATCCAGTTACCGACAAAAAGCCAAAGAATATATATATGTATATATTTACCCACTTTTCCGCCATAACTAACTCGGCAATCTAAAATTTCATTCGCCACGCAGCTGGTAACAATGTGGCTCGCTTAATCCGCAACATAAAACGTGGGGCAGGCGGCAGGCGGCTGGGGCATTGGGGGCCAAGGGCCGCCCCACCCACATAATGCAAATTGCTCTTATAATTTGCACAGTAGCAGCGTCATTCATCAGCCTTAGTGGGTGTGGGAAAATTTTGGATGGAGTTGCGGAAAATTCGGGGAGACAGGGTGGAAGTTAGACAAATTTCCCAGGGATTATCTGGAAGGATGCGCCACTGCCGCTCATGCAACATTCTCTTGCAGCTCAACGCTTTGGCGCTTCATTCCATTTATTATAACAAGTTTTTTACTTATTTTTTATCCTTTTTTTTGTTGGAGTGAGCTGTGGGGGTTATTTTCATTGCCAAAAATATATTTCAAGTGGGTTCAACTGCAGAGCGCATTTTATTTGGTTTTAGGATTTTTCGCCAGGAAAATGCACGAGTTTGTTGCAAACTGTTTCACATACACCAAGCACGCAGATACGCATATGGATAGAGTGGCAGTGCAGATACAGATACATTTCGGCCATTGCAGTTGCAGTTCCCAGATACAGTTACAAGCGTGACTCGACCTCCCGCAGAGAAGTTTTCATTTGGTTTTTAGCCCAGTGAGTAAAGCCATCAGGGAAAGTTTATTGTTTCAGCGGGGTATGTTGGAAATCACAGAATCGATCGAAAATGCAACCAAAAATCGTTTATATTTATAGAGTTTGCTATTTTGCCTTTAAAATTCTAATAGCTTTTGTTCCCTTTTCCAATATTTTCATTTATTTTTTTCCAAATCCCTTACCTTTTTAAATGTAGTCCTTTTTACAGGGAATTTTTTATTTCGTTCTTAGCTCTTGGTAACCACAACCATTCTCGGTCGATTTTTCTTTGAATTTTGGGATTTTCCTTTTGTTTTTCCGGCTGTCTCTCTCGGCCATTTCCCACCGCCCTTGGCTAGCTTTCAGTGGACCCACCTAGTGTGTGTTGTTTACATGTTCATTCGCGGGATTTTTCACTTGAAATTGGAAAGTCGACGTCGGCACAAAGAGTTAAGTCCATACATGGACGGAGAAGGAATCCGGCCGGGGGGCGCCTATTGTTCTGCCCCACACATTGTTGCATTAAATGAAGGATTTTCCCTTTTTTCGACTGCTCTCCCTTTGCGGTTGTCTTTGCATTAAGCTTGTTATGGCTTTAATTTAGAGGCATCCTTGGCGAGAATCGCATCATCGCAGCTGGATATCGTTAAATAATTCATGTCAGGCCGCCACGAAAACGAAATCGGAAAACGGACCAGGAAAAATGGCCAGAAACGAACCGAAGCAATGAAAGCCAAATTAAGCAGTGGAAAACGTTTAGCCAGTCTTTGGTTGGGGGAGGAGCAGGGTAGAAAAACAGAATAAGTTGGAAGCAGGATAACCGGGAGCCAGACTGCCGGGGGATTCCCAGCTGGGCGCCTCAGGAGCACCTGATTTACGTTGCAATAATTTTCATCTCATTTTCATTACGTTCTCCGGCTTATCCGGGCTGCTTCTTTTTCGGGAGGACTGTCTCCTCCTTGTGGTCTTTCGCATAAGGCCAAAAGGTGAGAAGCTCGTTTGGCCTGCAGGTCGCTTTATGCCGGGGTAGCCACTTGAGCCCGGCTATTTATCATTCCCCGAGAGCTTATACATAAGTTTCGGCTTGTCCATAGGCTTCTGCATTCGGAGCTCCTCGGTTGCCAGGGTAATCTTTCCCTCCACCGGCCCACAACAGCTGGGAAGCTTCCATGGAGGAAGTGTATTTTTTTTCTGGCTTTGCAAGGGCCATCAAAAGTTGTGAACAAGTTGTACGTTTTGATACAACAACAGGAGCAGGAATAAAGGGATCAACAAGGCACTCAGCACCAGAAACACTAATGGGCGGGAGTGTGACACTGCACTGTGGTGACAGATTTTCATCAATTATTGAACAGGTTCGGGGTAACAAGTGGTTCGGAAGAGAAAACTCTGCCAGCAGATCCAGTATATAAAATAGGAAAGGCTTTAACTTTTGTGGGAACTAGTTTTAAAGAAAGTTGGCACCTTTTTCGATTTAGTTTATAAAACTATATGTAAAGTATTATTATGGCATTGGTAGACAACTAAACTTAAGATTCAAATGAACTGATTTTGGTTCCAAATATAATAAGACCTACCCCCTCCAAAAAAGAAACTTCAAGAATGCTTAACTTTCTGATTTGCGTGCAATTTGTTTGTGCCCTTTACAAAATCCTCACATTCGCTTCATTAAGTCGTGAGCCCTTTCCACAGGCTTGAAAGAACAACGAAAAGAACAAAAACCATTTATCCCCAGAGAGGATTTGCAAATTCATGAGGCAGAGAGAAATCCGGTTGCAGGCAACTCAATTAGTTGCACGCACCCATTAGATATTCCAGGCACAAAACAAAAGAGTGAGACGATTGCAAAACCATCAAATAGCCGAAGGCCGCATTCGAATCCTGAGGATCCCCAAAAGTCGGGGGGAACGGGAGTCCAAGGAAGGAGATTATTTTTTGGCCACCCAGGAGGTCAAACCACAAACAAAGATGTCACGCAGTGCGTTGCCCAAAGGGATTTGGCCATTGGTACGCCCAAAAATATTATATATGACATTTTGCCATGAACACTAATGCCGGCTGGAGGGGCGGAGGAAAGACCCTTCGGATAGAGCAGCTTACTGGAGGGCTGAAGGACTTAAAAGTCCCTCCCAAGGACTGCTTTGCATAGACCAAAAATAAAATATTTATTGAAAAGTGGAGAGAGGTACCAAAAATACTCGAGAGTACCCAATCCTTTCGAAAATATAACGAATTAGTATATATGATTTTTATTAAGGAAACGTATTGCAATAATGGCATAATGGAGTTTTAAGTTTTTAGCAATGCTCTTATCACATTCGATTTATTAAGCCCCCAGCTTAATTCTGTAGTTGCTACCATTTGCTGGGAAATAATCAAATCAATTGCCAGACAGGAAAGGCGCAGACAGCTCGTCCAGCCAACTGCGACTAATGCGTCGCCATCAGATATGCAAACAATAACGGCGGACAAGACGAATCTCTCGGATTCGGAACGTTTATTAAGCGGACAATGCACGGACAGGAGACTTATTTGGGGAAGGGCAGAGTTCAGCAATTGTGCTCCTTGGCGAGGCTAGACTTCCTGCAGGCACCGCGCAGGACTTCGGGCAGGGGACGCCCCGAAAGACTCATCACGGTACCCGGCTGGATGTTGCTCAGCACATTGTAGAGTCGCTGCTGCTGATAGTTGGTCATCGGATCATTGTAGATCTTATCGTCCACGTAGACGATATCGATGCCCTCGTCCATGATCCGGGCATGGTAGTGATGGTCATGGGGAAAGAAGTTCAGCTCGGTCCCCAGCTCCTTGGTGATCAGAATGTTGGTGTTCCTGGCCGGCTGCTTCACCAAAAAGACCAGAATTTCCGAATCGCTATACAGGCTTTGTCCAGCCGGCAAAGCCGTCAGTTCCACCACAGCCCTTTCGCAGCAAATGAACTCCGGTTCATACGGCTGCATAGCATGAAAAGTCAGAAGAGTGGGATCCGGCTAAAAAAATTGGAAGACTAATATAACATATTACGATAAACGAAGTCGGACTCACATTAAAACGTTTGCGATAGTTCTGAATCAGCTCTTCGGTGCTATAGATAGTTCCATGCCACTTTGGTGGCAGATAGAACTCAAAGTCCGACGAAGTCAAAAGCTTAGTGCCATGCTTTGGATGGATTGTCGATTATTTTCCGGTTTCTTAGTATTCCTTTCAAAACTTACCAAATCGTATGAGTATTCGTGGAGATTGTCGGGTGTCACCTCGATGGGGGATCCAAAAGCGTCCAGAAACATGATCTTTTTATCTCTTTACACGTTTTTCCAACAAACTTTCATACAATTTTGCACGTTTTGCTTGAAAGCGTGTGACCGTTTTAATGTCAACTTGACAGTCGAGTTATTTTCGTTATCCAGCACTGTTCTTTTTGTAGTGATCTAAAACTGATCTAAACTTTTAAATAAAAGGGTAGTCGATTCTCAAATTTAAATAAAGATTAAAATTATCGTTATAAACATAGAAGTCCTGGAATCAAGTTGCATTTTAGAAGATACTTCCTGCAGTAACTGAGTTGCATTTTAATCCACAAAGAGATTCCGGGAGAGATGCTGGCAACCGTTTCCAGAGATTCCAAGGCGATTATCTCGTTTTGCTGGGCCCATAAATTTCTCCACGCCCATAACTGGGCTGACAACTTAAGTGCGGTCATGTTTTTGGGGTCCTGGCTCCCCTCCATTAGGAAAACAATTACAGACGACACTGACAGGCTCGCATTGCCGGCCGAAACCGAGACCCCGGGCATATCCTTGTGGTAGGAGTTGCAGGAAGAGATAGCATTCGGCGTCTGGCCGGGATATGGCCATAAATTATGAGTTTGTCGTCACATGCCGACGGTCTTAGCCGGTGGTCATGTCTATTAAGTAGCCTTTAGAGTCGCCCATTGTGGCTCTGTCCAAATTTTTGACACTGCCGGGCCGGGCTTAGTTTGCAAACCCTTTTCGCATGGAGATTTCTCCAAACTGCATTTCTGGGATAACATTTGGTTGTCGTTTTGTTGGCGAATTTGTTTACTTTCCCTAGGTGTGCTAGGTGGGGGGTTCAGCCCTCCCACCAGCTATCCCCGAGACATAAATTATGGCTCCGCAAATTCCTTTGGTTTCAGCTCCATTTTCGGGCTCACGAACTAAAGAGAGCGTCACATGTGTGTCTAAGTGATTTTCAATAAGTTCTCCGGGTCCTGGGGGTTCGGTCAAAGTTTTTGGGGCACGATTTTTCACAGCTCCAGATGTCTATATATATACATATAGGAAGTAACATAATTTATGGCGCCTTCACGGGTAAGGACATGTGGGTGCGTGTGGGTGGGCAGAGCGGATTTTCGCAGGCGTCGATAATGACGAGCGATTTCTCATAGCCTTGTGTGGCGGTCGGCGGTGGGGGATAGACGAACTCATTTCGCCAAAGCACCAGCCATTTGCAGCAGCTGCGACCGACCTTTGACATCCCCCAGGCCCAAGTCTGCCACGTCTGCCCCGTCTGCCCCGTCTGCCACGAGGGCCAACTAGGATTACATGGCACGTAAAAACAAACTTGATTCTCGGCCATCAAAAAACGCCATCCGTCTTCCAGCAAACGTTCTCGTCCTAGTTCGATGTTCGAACCAAAGCAACTGCAAAGCTGCCAAGTACGCGACGTGATTCAATATTTTTGCGAAATTATTTTTTAATCATAGTTCGACAGAAGTCGGTCGCAAGAAAGACAGTGGAGCTCACAAATAAAATATGAATTGGAGTAGAGGTACTCTTAATTTTCAAAGTGCTTCTAGGGCTTGTAACTATTGGTTATTTGTATACTATACCTTATTTAAATCTCCTTTAAAATGTCCTTTTCAATTTCCAGTTAGCACAACAAGTGTCAACCCCTCAGACAAAAGATGACAGCTTACATGTGTACGAATCGGAAAAATCCCCCACATAAACCATAAAGGCAACAAAGTGAAAAAGTGGAAAAATGGCAGCGAAAACTTTTGCAATTTGAAAGATTTGCAGATGGCCGCCTCAGTCGCCACACTCTCACAGCCATTAACGCAATCGAATGACGGCTTTCTTGGCTCCAATTCGGATTGGGATTCGCCTTTCTCTTTATGGTAAATGCCCGCAAAATGTTTTCAATGCTCAAATGGCGAAATGGTGAAATGGCAACCAAATCAGCGGATCCCATGCCCAGGCCTTGCAAAGAATTGCAATTGTGACAATGCTGACAATCTGCAGGCGACAGCCAAGACCAAAAGGAGCTCCGAACGGAAGTCGAAGTGAAAAGGGAAGCCACTGGAGATGAGGGGAAACAGACGGCAATGCCAGTTCCGTCTACATCTCTAACATCTCTTTGATACATTCAAAAAAAAATTCATTCCATTGGAATGTATGGGGGTTTTTAGGGAGAGTTACCCACTCTAATATATCTTCTCTTGTATCTGACTTAAATTTAATTTTTTTATCTTTATATTTTATAAGAATTTCCTAAATTCGTTCGGTGCATTTCCTTTTCAGATTCGTCCACGTCTGGCGACGTCAAGAAAACGGCGACACTTACAATCAGTATGAAATTTACGCGATTTTCATTGCGGCAAATGGTTCGCTTTTTTCGGTATTAACATTTCTGGCCAAGCTTGTTTGGGGGTGCTGGGGTGGGGGAGTGTCCTGAGGGGGAGCCATGGTGTGGGTGGCAGGAGCATGGGTAGGGGAGCTGCGTAGACCAGCTGAATTTGTGCCAATTTTCATAATTCCTTCCTTCAAATGGGCATATTGGGATTAATAGAAAAGAAAAGTATATTTATTAAGAACATAAAATAAAAGGATATAAATATTAATAAGATTAGGACTATAGACTAGACTAGACTATAGACTAGGCCTCTTAGATCATAGGCCCCTAATGTTTTACCTCAAACCTCGAATTCTTTTCCAATTTTTAAAGATTCTCTTCTAAGATCATTGCCTTTAAGTCCCCTGTGACCATTAGTCTGAGCGATATCCCTGAAGAGTGTAAAGCGAGTTCGTTGTTTCCCAAAAGCAATATGACTTTGCGCTCAGTTTGGTGCCTTGGCTCCATCCCATAACCAGGATAACAACAAACAGGCAAACAGCTCGCGGCTGCCACGAGCCAAAAGTGGCATCAGCTGCGGCAGTTGGCGCGGATATATCTTGCCACTCCCTCTGCCCCCCCGTTGCCCCGATCCCACTCATACCCGCCAGGACATTTATCCCGTGCTGACTGACTCTAGCCGAGGATAATGCAATAAGCGTTGCCAACAAGCACCCAACGTCTTCGCCCTTAAACTTTGAGCCTCACAACGAACTGCGTTTCGTGGGCGGGTGGGATGCCCGCCAGGACAAGGGAGGCAGGATATCCAGGGATATCCAGGGGGTTGCACATGTGTGCCAGACAGGTTATGCGCTATAAAAAATTTAAGAAATTGCTACCAGAGCCAGCGCCAAAAACGACAATACTTACGAGCATTTCACAAATCAAAATACTTTCAAGGGTCGCCCCTACCCCCCAAATCCTTTGTTGTCTGCCACGAGTTGTTATTGTTATTGTTCTTAATGTTAGCTTTCTTGTTTGCGAGTCCTTTTCTTTCCTATTTTTTGTTAGTTTCAAGCAGCTGATGCCCAAAGGAGCTATCCGAAAAACAATGTGCTAAATAAATAAATTTGGCCATGATTGCAACATCAAAACAAGGTGGAAAAACTGGCAATATGGCAGCGAAAATTGTTACTTTTCATGGCATCGTTGGTGAAGTTTTGCGATTTTTAAGATGTCATAAAAATAATCATAGAAAACGATAGTTATTAAGGCAAGAACATGTGTGTTTTTCGATTCTAATTAAGAGTTTTTCCAGTTAATTTTCTTTATTTTCTTGTGGAGCCTAGACAGGACCATATCTCAGGCTTAATAGCCCGACTATACAAGGTCCTCGCCAGGGTTTATGTGGCAGTTTGCGTGTGCAGGAGAACACGAGCAGTTGGTAATATCCTTGGAGAGTGGCATGCAAAAGGACAAGCAACAAAAGCGAGCACAAATTGCGTCATGTTTTGCAATTCCCACGCATTCTGTGAAGCTCCCCACTTTACTCCTTTTCCGCACCAGAGCCGCCCAGCAATCTTTCCCCTGGTTCCCACGCATTCGCTTGGGTTAAAGGTCGCCGGAGTGTGTCTCCACCCACTTGATGTCGCTGCTCCAGCTGTCCTCGCCTCGATGTTATTTAGCCGACAGTTAGTGTTATCCCCTAGGGGGGGATCGGACTCCTTTTTTATGTCAACTGTTGATTGCAGCCGTCGCTGAACCAAAACCCAAACAAACCTGAACTACGAGCCCCTCCCATGCCGGACAAGTGCAACAATAATCGGAATTAATTCAATTTTGGTTGCAGGCTTTAAAGGTAGCCACTTAATTAAATGGCCCCACGCATGCTCATGCATATATGCCGGCATATCCTGTGGCCAGGACACTGATTTTTATGCATTGGTCCAAATTTCAGTTTAAATAGAATTACATTCAACAAAATGCGCATAAAGCGAATGAATAACCGCAAAATATTCGAGCACTTAAAATGGCCAAGTGATTGAATTGTGTGAAACATTTCAAAAGATGGCAGCGTGACACGGATTTTACTTCTCTATGAAAATTTTATTTTATTATAGCTATAACATCAATATTTCAGCTGGACCTTGGTAATTTGTGTCAAAAGATAGGCCATCTTCGGAATTTTATATTAACTTAGAAAAAAAAAAATTATAAAACTTGAAAACTTGTTTATAAAAAATGATTTTAATTTTGTAACATTTCCTGAAGCAGGACACAGGGCGACGTAGGCCAATCCACGAAACAGAAACCGCTCTGGTTAAAAATCACTGGTCGAAAAATGTAGTTTTCTAGAAAACACTTTCAAGGTATTCCGGCTCCCTCTGAAGCATTTTGACATAACCATAACAATTAATGTATAGCTCCAAAAATAATTATGGGATTGAAAATATGTAGATATGTAGATTAAAATAAAATAACAAAAAATTCGATTTTTAACCAAAACTATCCGGAATGGACTCTTAAGAAATTTTAGTTCACGAACTCATCTCTAGTTGTCACTTTATATTTCCGATAAAATACAAAACAGTGACAGTTTCCAATGGGGACTAACCGCAGTATATATTAAATACTCCAACCTCCTGTGTAAATAAAATTTATAATTTAATGATGTTATTAAATTTAAAATTTAAGAGCCTACGCCCTCCTGACAACTACCACAATGTACGCCTTTGTTTTTGGCCAGAAATGTATTTGATGGAAGCTGCACTTGTGTCCTGTAATAACCAACCGGCCAAGGATAAAGGCCGTTGGCCAGCTGGAGGCTTTCGGCTGCCTTTGATCAAATTATCCCTGCAACTTCCCCACCCTCGGGTATTGAACCTGTTTTAAGCTCAGATGTCCGGCATATGTGTACATATTTTAAATTTAATTACTACACGCTGCATGCAACAAACAGTGGCAACAGCAGTGCCGGCAAATCCAAGCGAGGCCATCCATCCATCCAATTGGGGCAGACGCAATCCTTTCATGGGGAAATACGCCATAAATTCTCATTCCCAAATAGTTGGCTGGCCATTCAAAATCTGCGCTAGCCGCAAATATATAAAAACATATGACCGTTTGAGAGGGTGGCTTTAAATTTAACAAAAACTATTAAATAAAATCATATTTATTTTAGATAGCCCCACTTAATTACCTTCAAAACATATATGTAGCTTCGAAAGTGCTCTCTGATTGCCACGAATTACTAGATTAAACTTTTCTATCTACCCTCTCTGTAGCATATATCACCTGAATATGTGTACCTGTCTCTCTGGCCATGTCCTTTCATTCAGACAGACTCTTTAGCGCTGGTCCTGCGGGCATTTTTGCACATTTAACTCAATTTGTGGTTTACATTTAATTAATTTAATAATATATGCCGGAATGCGTTTTCCCATCTTCTGCAACCAAAGGGAGAAACCACAAAAATCTCGCCGTTTGTCAACAATTTTCCTGCCCAGGATATATCCGAGATTCAGGTTGAGAGCCAAAGAAGACAAGACTCGAAATATTCGGAATTTATGTCCATTAAATGGCTCAGAACAAAGCGCTCCACAGATGGCGGTAGCGTAGAGTAGAGGAAGCTTTTTCTATAGATGGCGGCGCCAACACAATCCACATGATGAAAATGTTTGTGGATTATGTTAATGCAATAAAATAATATGTATATTTTGTACTAAAAATACTTAAGTTAACCAAAATAAATTAATAAAGTTACTTAATTAAATAAAGTTAAACAAAATAAATTAAATTCTATAAAATAAATTCTTCTATAAATTTATTATTCTAATTTTATAAAATTATTCTAAACGAGCCATCAAAAGTATCTTCTGAGTTTCGAGGTCAAAGCCAAGAAAAAGATTAAAGTTTGCTTTGGCTAATTTATGTTAATAGACTTGACTAAGTTAGCTAGCAAATTTTGGGATTTAAATAAAGTTTCACAATTAAAGTGAATTAAAATTCTGGTCTATATTACATTTTAAAGCTTGTAAGTTAATACGGGTTATTAAAATTCACTAAGTGAGTAAAATTGAACTGATTTAATACGCACTTACTATGAATTAAAAATCCGTAATTAAAATTTCTCTTTTTATCCATCTACTCTCATTTTTTTTATTGCCCATTCTTAGGACATTGAACTAATTTCATAAACGATCTCTATAAATGCAATGTAAATATTAGCGGAAGCCCTTTTATCGATGGCAAATTATCGCAATGTGCATTCGCAAATTATGTAAATAATGCAATTATAGTCTCCCTGCACATATCGAGTTTTTATTTATTTGTGTCTAGTGAGTGTAACGAGACCCATTGGCAGACTTACTGGGGCCGAGGTGCCCCTCCGCCCATTTCATTCAACTTTCATCCAGATCGTTTGGGGTTTCACTTTGTTTACATTGGCGACTAGAGTCGGCGCAGAGCGAAAAAGCTTTAAATTTAAAACAAAGCTCTGCTAGAACGCTATATAAGATACAGTGCATCTGCAGTCGAACCGCAGTTCTAGACAGAAGTAGAACAGATTAAGTTTAGTCAAGAGCACCCATCATAATGAATCATCAGTCGAGATTCAAGTGAGTAATCTTTTAGCTCAAGTGGCAAGTTTTCTCTAAATCTTCCAATTTTTGTCGCAGCTCCAACCTGTGGCTACTAGTTTTGGTGGCTTTCAATGGGGTCTGGCTGGGAGAGGCCCAGGTGCCATTTCCCGGAAAGTGTCCGGACGTGAAAGTGATGGACACCTTTGATCTGGAAGCGGTAAGTTGATATTACAGCATATCACCTTAATCAAATTAAATATTAAACTATTTTTTCAATCGTCTGATAGTGACAAGAATCCAATTAAAAAACTTTGTAAACAAAGATAAGGTTAACTAACTTCACGTGCAAAAAAACTAACAACTTACAAATAATACTTTGTTTATCATTTCATATAATAATAGTATATACATAGATAATACAATTAGAGTTCAACTTTCAGTACATGGGCGTCTGGTACGAGTACTCCAAGTACCCCTTTGCCTTTGAGATCGGCAAGAAGTGCATTTATGCCAATTATGGAATCGTGGACAACAGTACGGTCTCAGTGGTAAACGCGGCCATAAACCGATTGTTAGTATTTACTTAAATATATAAACAAATATTTCAAAAACTAACAATATTTCTACGCAGCACTGGAAGCCCCTCAAACGTAACTGGTACCGCCAAAGTTATTGCCCCTGCCCAACTGGCCGTGGCATTTTACCCGAATCGTAGGTTCTCGAAAAACGTATTTGCATTATTAGTATTTAATTTTTTGCCACCCGTTTTAGAGCAATTAACAAGGGCAAACTACTTGGTCTTGGGCACCGACTATGAATCATACTCAGTTGTCTACAGCTGCTCTAGTGTCACAACCTTGGCCAACTTCAGTAAGTAAACGAGGAAGCCGACTAAACACATTAAAATGCGCCCAGCGTAATGACTTGTCATCCATTTGAGATTAAATTTATGCAAGACACTATTCTGAAGTGTAATGTTTACCATTTCAGAAGTCGTTTGGATCTTAACTCGTCAGCGACAACCGTCCACCGAGACAATAGAAGCCGCCAAAAAGATCCTCGACGACAATTCCATATCGCAGGCCTTCCTTATCGATACGATTCAGACCAAGTGCCCCCAGTTGGATGGCAACAGCACCGAACTGATCGGAGATGATACCGATGTGGAAGACTTTGTCACAACTGTGGTGCCAAATGCCATCGAGAAAGCATGAGAATGGCTGCGACGCTTCTACGAGCGTCTCTTCGATATTTTTATGAACTTTCTGAGTTACTAAAATTGTTAACAAAATGTACATAAAATGGTTCTGAATAATACCTAGTTGTTAGAAAGAATAAAAGTCATATGATGGCTGATAGATTGCAAATTATTACAAAATGTTTTTAGTACACTTTCTTTTTTACGCTTATTATAATTTTTAGCTAAATTGTCACGGGTAAAGGCATTGATAATTCAATTTACAAGCCCCTATTTCTATTTTTCATAGTCTGTATCTTTATTTCTATATTTATCTTTGCAGTATGATGAAGTGGATAATATTCACGTAGGCATTTTTAATTATAAATAATACTTTGAATACAATAATCTATTTTTGATAGAATTCTTTTATGGATACCATTTTGTGCTGCATTCTATGCCAGACAGGGACCATGCCCCAATATGACAGCAGTGGGGGACTTTGATATGGAGCGCTTCTTGGGAACTTGGTATACCTATTCTATATATACCCCTGTCACAACGACAGTTGCCCGATGCCAGAAAACCGAGTTCATACAATACGATGCGAACTTTTATAAAATGAAGTCACTTGAGCTTAGCACGCAGTAAGTAATATTATATAAACGTATTTTTTAAAAATGTTTAAAGTCCAAGCCCTCCAGGACTGATACGGTCAAGGTGAGACAAGCACTTATCAAAGAAGTAGATTCTTCAAAGGGAAGGTATATTCAAGAAACGCACAATAAAGGTAATAGGAACGATACCTCTACGAATTATTTTACTTATTTATAAAAAAATCTTTGTTTTTTTAAGTTCTTCCCGAAGGAGTACAAATATACATCCTGGATACAGACTACGACAATTTTGCCATTCGCTTCATGTGCTTCGAGGCCCTTTCTATTTTCAGTTTTCGTATGTATTTCAATAAAAAAAAAGTATTAACTTTTAATCAAATTTGATTCCAGATTGGGCTGTTATTCAGACTCGAAAACGTTTACCAAATGCTGGTATCATCTATGTGGCCCAGGAACTGGCTAAAAAAAATGGAATAGCTATTTCTCATATGAGCAAAGTTCATCAAGAGTCTTGTCCACGGGATAGTTAATTTTCAATTGAAAAAATTTAAATAAAATTATATTCTATTATATACAAATTATAGAAATCGTAAATTTCATGGAACGACTTCGAGCGTTTCGTGATCAGTCTTTAAATAACTGACACCCCTGAGAATAGTATTTGAAATATCACGTAGTCGCATTATGTTAGTTTCGTTGAAAATATCCATTATTTGCTCAACCTTGGGTTTGCCTTTTGCTTGCAAAACAAATGTTGGCCAACCGGAGCTGGCATAAATCACAAAACCGCACTTGGAACGGATGCGCATAGATAAACTTCACCCACTCAACCGCCCGACCAACCCACTACCCAACCATCCAACTTCCCTATCACCCTATCACGACTACCCGACTCCTTTTCATCTCATTCCCTGGACAGAAATAAAGGAAAAAGGACAATTGTAAAATTAAACAGCGAAAAGGCAGCACGGAGTATCCTTCGAAACAGAAAACTCGGAGCGTCCATTGGGGAAATTTTATGGTACAACGATTTTTAGAAGCTGTACAAATATATATATGTCTATATTTTATTTGCCGACTTTTCTATTTTTGTTTTCCACCCGCGGCTGTTCGAGTCGGGTGTGCAACGTTTTGTTGCAAGGGTCGAAAGGATCCACTCGCCTCACCTCCGTTCTCCTTGCTCCCGAAAATTTAGCCAGAGACCCCGACGTCCACGACGACTACTCGCTATGCATACAAAATTTGTTTTGTAAACAAAGTAATGCCATTACAAACAAATTGGACTTTGTGCCCATGTTTTATTTCCAGCCCACCCATCCACTTGGCCGCACCCTTGCCACATTGTTGCACTGGGGACCCGTTGGGAAATCGCTCAAGAGAACGTCGTGATGATTGAAGGAATATGTGACTGACATTTGAGCCTCCCATGCACATAGATGGATAACATTTATTGAGTGCCAAAGGATGGCTCTGCTTTGCAGTTTTTGTGGCCTGCCCGCCAGCTATTGGATTACTCTCCGGCAGATTATATCGTATACTTTTTATTCAATTTTATCCCAAAGTTTGGCGTCTCTAAGGAATTCTTTTAAAGATTGTCAACTACTACAGCAAGAACTTTAATAACTTTATACCTAAAGGATACCTCATGTACATGTCGCTTGTACCTTTAGCCTTTAGAAATTAACTTTCCCCCATCGTACCCTACCGATTCATTCAATCGCATTTAATTCCTTGATGATTGAATGGAAAAAGCTAAATCAGCTAAAGCAATTTGCTGTCAGCATCAGCAAGGTACTGGCGATAAAAGTCGCCCAATTTCAGAACCTCCCGCCACAATCCTGCCAGAGCCCGGCAGTGAGTTCCCGCACTCCTGCCAGTCAATAAAATGCCTTTTAATTAATCGGACGAACAGTGTCCGGTGCTGTGCGTCAGCTGTTGCGGCGATACGAATGGGAAACAGGACTCGAGAACAGGACATTCGAATGCAGCGACGAATTGTGCGCATAAATTATGCATCCAACCATTTGGGATCCCTCTGCATTTATGGTTTCTCTTGTGTATTTTTTTTTGGTTGTGATGTTCCCACTCCGTTGGCCAGCAACAATATGTTGTAAACGTTTAATGTGAACGCGCCTCTAATCGCTGTCCTGGCAACGTTCGCCTCCACCTGCCACGAAATCTGGTTGCTGTAATTGCGTTCATTGAATTGTTAACCGGTCTGGTTGCCAGAATTTTAGTACCATCCCCGGGAAAACCGCAAACTTGCAGCGACGGCGGCCAAAAGCCGTTGTTATCCTTGTGGTCCTTGTGGCTGAATGTGGCCAATGTGTGTGTGTCTCTGTGCGAATGTCCTGGTGTGTTGGTGTGTGCTGGTGTCCCCTTGAGCTGATTTCCACCGACGTGGACAGCGATTTGGTTGAGCACGCCTCCTGTATTCCAGTATTCCGGTATCCCGGTCAATGCGCATCAAACTTTTTGGCTCTCCCTTTCGGCCATCTGCATTTGGCATTTATTGGTATTGTTCCAATTAAAGTTGGACTTGGTCATAAAATATGCAAGCTCAGCGAACCATTCAACCAACTTCTGGTTCGGGTTCTGGTTCTGGTTCGATTTTGGCGGCCACAGGACATTAATGCGTTGCGGTCAATGGTTTTGACTGCAGCAACTGAGGCGACGTTGCCAATAAAAGGTAATAAAAGTTCTCCACTTCGACTCCGAGGGATAGACGTTGGGTGGTCCTTTGCTAGCTTTTCGATTGATGAATCCTTAAAATTTCTTTTTTTGCGAGCTGTTTTAGTATGACAAAGTTGCAAAATACTTTCCTAAAAGTACCTTAAAGTCAAAAGAGGGTTTTTGAACTGATAAGAGTAACCCCATTTAGACGAAAATGTTATCAGACTTTTATCCATGCTAAGATTTTCTTTTGTATCACAAATATTGTCTTCAACTTTTTGGCAAGATTATAAAAAAAGTTTCTGCTTAACCCGTTTCGTGCCACCCTGATTCGCTTGTCAAATTCTACCCGGATCAAGCATCGCGATGCATTCACCTTTGACCCACCACCATCTGCCAAGCCAACTTTTGTGCCTCATTGCCACACGCTGCACCACCCACCGCCCAAGTCTTGTGGCACGTATTGGCCAAAGTCAAAGTTTCGGCAACGCGTCTCCTGCGGCCTGGCTGCCAACTGCTTAATCAATTACGCAACTTTGTAACAACAGGCGAAATGTGAAAAGCGGTGGTGCCCGGACGGGAGCGTGCACCGCATGCATTAGACTTAGTCAAATATATAAAAGTGCCACTATCCCCCACGATGACAGCCAAGCACGAAGCCAAGGAACTCGGAATTAGCTGCAACTTTTGGGCTAAAAGGTTTTCCAAGAATTAAAAAAAATGAAATCGGGGTAACTTTTCCTTAGCCTTCTCCTAGTTTGGTTCACCAACATACTTTTTCTCTTAGTTTTTTTTTTGGTTTTCATCTAAATTATCTTCAAAATTATGCATGTTTAAAGGCAAGAACCAATAAGGACCTTGAGAATGGCTGCCAACCGGTGCTACTGCCCAGTCAGCCATGTCATCTTTGACTGCGACGGAACCTTGATGGGTATTTTGAAATATTGGTCTATAATTCAGAGCAACAGGCTTAGATTTTATTCCTTTCTTTCCTAAAGACACTGAAGGACTGTATCTTAATGTCGTGGGTGACACACTGGCTCCGTACGGAATAACATACACTCCGGAGGACCAAGCTCGTTACATGGGAAGACCTTCGAATCTGCTGGCCGAATCCCTTGTAAGAGACTATAATCTGCCGATTTCGACCGAAGATTACATCGAGGCTTTCAACCAAAAAGACCATCAGTACATGACAAATGTTTCGCTATTGCCCGGGGTTAAGGATTTGATTCTTCACTTGCACTCATTCCGAATACCCATGGCCATTGCTACGAGTTCTTCCAAGGAGATCATGGACGTAAAGTTCGAAACACACAAGGACATAAAAATGGCCTTCCATCACATAGTGTGTGGCAATGATCCGGACATGTGTCCGGGCAGGGGAAAGCCGGCACCCGATATCTACCTTTTGGCAGCCTCTCGATTCTCGCCACCTCCAGATCCCAGGCACTGCCTGGTGTTCGAGGACTCTCCCACCGGCCTTAAAGCCGGACGAGCTGCCGGCATGCAAGTTGTCTTTATACCCGAAAATGCCACCACCCGAGCGATGGGAGAAGACCCCACAATGGTGCTTGGTTCAATGTCTGAGTTCGAACCCGAACTCTTTGGACTGCCTGCCTACGACAGCATGTCTTATTTTCAATTTGGCTAACTATAATTTCAGGATTTCAATAATTTTTAAACATTGTTAAAATAGAATTTTATATAAACCTTAAGATAACCTCTTGAATATGTAGAACAAAAGGTATCAATGCGTATAGGTAGTTTGAGTTACAAGATCACGTATCCGCCTCATGGGTTTTTCTTGCTGTCTTCCAACTGTTATGTTCATCAAAGTAACATTTCCTTACACTTTCCCTACTTGGAAATTCAAACATAAAAATTTCCTTTTTTTTATGCATCACATCAAAATTATAATGAAAATCATGAAATTTATATGGTAAATGTCTATAGGGACTATAGGAATGGCTTCCAGTCGGTGTTACTGTCCAGTCACCCATGTCATCTTTGACTGCGATGGAACTTTACTGAGTATTTTATAAAAACAGCCGGAATAGGCAACGAAATGTCATCCTCTGTTCTCTTTAGACACCGAAAGCCTATATATGAAGATAGTGAATGAGACCTTGGCTCCTTTTGGAAAAACCTATACTTTGGAGGACCAGGCACGTTACTTGGGAAAATCATCTCCCGCACTTGCCAAGGCAGTTGTCGAAGATTTTAATCTTCCAATTACCCCGGAGGAGTACCACAAGTCGTTCAGAAAAGTAAACTACAAGTATATGAAAGAGGTTCAGCTTCTTCCTGGTGTTAAGAATTTAATCCTCCACCTGCACGAATTCCGAATACCCTTCGCCGTTGCCACCAGCTCGGCCAGCGAAACGATCGCCATGAAGTTTAAATACCACATAGACATCAAAAATGCCTTCCACCACATGGTGTGTGGCAATGATCCTGAGCTGGGACCGGGCAGGGGAAAGCCAAAACCGGATATCTATCTACTGGCGGCCTCTCGGTTCAATCCTCCAGCAAAGCCAGAGAAGTGTCTGGTGTTCGAGGACTCGCCCACAGGTTTAAAGGCTGGAAGAGAAGCCGGCATGCAGGTCGTGTTCATCCCCGAAAGTAAAACCGCCCGGGGATTGGGAGAGGATCCTACCATGGTTCTGGGATCCATGGCGGAGTTTCAGCCTGAACTTTTCGGACTGCCTGCTTTTCCCAACTGCTCCAAGTTTGAGTTTGGCTGACTATTATTTTAGGCTTACAGGTCTTTTAAAGAAATAATCATGGGTATATGGGGTCTATTTTTTCTATCCAAGACGCACAGTTTGAATAAAAAACAACTTCTAGTTTTCAAATTCATCCAAGTAGCTTTTTCCTAACCCTTCCCGTACAAATATATATACAAATTCTAAAACTATTTACTATTTGTAATGCTTTGAAATTATAATTAAAATATGTATTTTTATGGTAAAGACCGAAAGCAATCGTAGAATGGAGTCCTGTCGATGTTATTGCCCAGTTACCCATGTTATTTTCGACTGCGATGGAACCTTGTTGGGTATATTAAATAAATTTAAAAAAGTAATAGCCATAATACTTAGAGTTTCCTTACCTTTGTATTTAGACACCGAACACCTTTATATAAAGATCATAAAAGAGACCTTGGCTCCGTATGGAATAAATTACACTCAGGAGGATCAGGCTCGATACATGGCAAGAACGGCTCGAGTTATGGCCGACACCCACATCAAAGAATTTAATCTTCCAATTACGGCGGAGCAGTACCTTACGGCTTTCAAAAAAGCAGACTACAAGTATATGAAGGATGTTAAGCTTCTGCCTGGAGTTAGGGACTTGATCTTCCATTTGCATGAACATCGAATACCCTTAGCCATTGCCACCAGTTCGAACAGCGAAATAATCCAAGTGAAGTTTCAATCTCACGCGGACATCAAAAGTGCCTTCCATCACATAGTGTGTGGCAATGATCCGGAGTTGAAGACGGACAGGGGAAAACCGGAAGCGGATATCTATCTGCTAGCAGCCTCACGCTTCCACCCACCGGCAGATCCCAGAAAGTGTCTGGTGTTCGAAGACTCCCCAACAGGCTTAAAAGCCGGAAGAGCGGCCGGCATGCAGGTTGTGTTCATACCCGAAAGTGAAACATCCCGAGCCCGAGGAGAGGATCCTACCATGGTGCTGGGATCCATGACAGAGTTTCAGCCTGAACTTTTTGGCCTGCCTGCTTTTCCCAACTGTTCCAAATTTGAGTTCGGCTAACTAGTATTCTAGGCTTCCGCTTTCTAAATAGTAGTTTAAAAAAAATATATGTATAAAATTTTCTATCAGATATGTCCGACGATGAACATGAAGACAGCACCGTTCGGAGACACTGTTTCTTTCAGCCCGTGACCCATTGCATTTTTGAATTGGATGGCCTGCTGATCGACAGCGAACGGCTGAGAACCAATTCGGTTCAGAAGATTCTGGATCCTTTTGGCCACACCTATAGCTTTGACATAAAGCTACGTTGCATGGGTAAGCCGGAATCGGATCTGGCCGACGTAGTGGTGAGCACTTTCAACCTGCCCATCGGACGGACGGAGTTCGAAAGTCAACACGAACTCCAATGTCGTGGCAATCTGGGCAAAATCAATTTAATGCCTGGTGTGGAAAGGCTGTTGAGACATCTTCATGAGTCCAATGTTCCCATGGCCATAGGAAGTAACAGCTCGCGGGACTCATTTCGGATCAAAACCCGTCGCCATTCCAGACTCTTCGACGCCGTTTTCCACCACGTGGTTTTGAGCGGCTCCGACGGCGAGGTCAAACAGGCTAAACCATCTCCAGACGTTTTCCTCGCAGCCGCCTCAAGATTCGAGGATCCTCCTGAGCCGGGGAAATGTCTTGTTTTCGAGTCCTCACTGCCGGGCATGGAGGCGGCTCTGGCCGCTGGAATGCAAGTGGTTCTGGTCCCGGATCCTTTGGTCTCCGTTCGAATGAGTGCTGCGGCCACCTTAAGACTTCGGTCGTTGGAGGACTTTAAGCCACAGTATTTCGGACTTCCAGCACTATAGGTTTCTTTTAATATTTGAATAAATTTTCAGTATATTTTTAAGATTGTTTTATGTTTACTTGTTCCATAACCATAGATCACGTATTGGCCTTGTGGCATTTTAAAATAAAAATTACTTGCGCTTTTATTTGAAAATAAAATCTAAATATAATGGGTATCATTCATATAATTTCCATGGGCCCCGCATTTTTCAGCATTGTTGGATTTTAATATAAACAATTAAAGAAATAACCTTTTAGAAATCTATGCAAAATGTAGTCAGATCACCTTTCAAACTATTATAGAAAAAGATTTCAAAGTCATTGTTAGATCTAAATTCGGAGAATGCTAAACAAAAATTATACGAAATTTGGATACATCTTCCAGCCGTAAAATCCATTTTGTTTCGCCGTAAAATGTGCAGCCCATCGTGTAAATCTTGCAAAGCCCCTCCCCAGTGTTCTCGATGTCCTCCCATGTGCTGTAGTCCTGGTATCAGCTACTGTATTTTCGACCTGGAGACTGCTGTTTTCGGTAAGGCTATGACGCCCATTTGGACAGCTATTTGCAAGAGTTTCAACCAACAGATACCCGCCACGTCTACCAAAAAGCTCTCATCGATTTGGCTACCAGCTACAACAGAGTAATACCGGAACTACTAATGATACAAATCGGGCCGATGGAGACGGCTGAGATGGCGGAGCTGATCTGCAGGAAGTTAGATATGCCGGTCAGTTGGGAGACCTTCCGATACCAGCTTAATGAACGAACCTCGGAGCTGATCGCCAATCCGCCGCTGATGCCGGGAGTAGAGAGGCTGGTGCGGCACTTGTGCAAGTGCTGCATGGGCCTTGGCCTGGTCACCTCCTGCTCGGAGAGTAGGTACTGCAGCAAGATCAAGGACCGGGAGGAGTTCTTCGAGCACTTCTCCACAATCATCTTCGGGGACGACGCTGAGGTGAGGGCCGTCAAGCCTCAGCCGGATGTGTATCTGATAGCCATGTCGCGTCTGGGGGATGCGGGGCCGGACTGCACCCTGGTCTTCGAGGGCACACCCCAGGGCGTCCAGGCTGCTATCGACGCCCGTCTGCCGGTCGTCATGTTAGCGGAGAGCACGCTGCCCTGCTGTTGGTCCGAGCTGGCGACACTGCGACTCGAGACTCTGGAAGAGTTTGACCCGGAGGAGTTCAACATGCCACCGTACAGCTGCACAGAGCCGCCGCCCAGGAAGGTCAAGAGGAAGAGCCGTCGAAGCTCCCAGATTTCCACCGGCAGTCGCAGCTCGGCAGCCATAAGGGCGGCCGCCGAAGCCGCAGCTGCCGCGGCAGCCGAGGAGGGCGGGGAGGAGGAGCAGGAAGAAGCTGAGTAGCGATTTTATGAAAGTAAAAGTTGGAGGATTTTATCATGTTGGATCTTGGACAAAATTAAAGTTATTTTTTAGACAAGAGATTTTTAAAGGATTAATAAATATTTGCATTAAAAATGGGACTAGTATTCTTAACAGCTGAAAATGGGCTATGAATCAAGCCAAGCCATCAAGACTATTCTAATACATACATACTTCACAACTCAACAGATTTGCGGTTAAATATTTTCACAATCCATACGAGAATCTAGGCAATCTACCTAAAAGCTTTTGCAACTAGTAGCTGAATATAGCAGATACAGCCTTATACCCACACATTTCACATAAAAATATGCAGGAACTGTATTATTTTATTTCCAAAACAAAAAAAAAGAAACCCTTTCGGGTAATATCGCATATTTATCGCAAAAATCACATATGTATAGTAGACCAATCTTTATTATAATTTTATTACAAAAGCAATTTTTTAGAAAACAAATCATAAAAACAAATCCCAAGCTTCTATCTTCCAACAAAAACTAAAGTTGGTTTTTTTGATCAACTGAGGGGTTTTCCCTGTAGGATCCACAGTGATGGCTATATCTTCCGCAATTCTCACGCAGAGTACCTTAAACGATTGCTAGATCTATTCTCCACCGTTCTGCATCAAAATTCTGAGACAAAATATTTTTTAAATTTTTTGTCCATTTTCGTGATGGGATCCCTTGAAAATGCCGTTTTACCCTATAGGAAAACAAGCGGAGTACATTTAACGACTGCTAGATCGATTCTCAGCCATTCTGCATCAAAATCCTGAGATAAAATATTTTTAAAATTTTATGTCCATTTTCGTTTTAAAAAATGGGGCTGTTCCTTATAGTTTCAAAGTTTCAAGTCGTTAGGTTTAAAATTGACAGACTAGTTCGCGTAGAAACAGTCTCCTTCAGTGCGTTGCACACTTTTGTCCAAAATATAATATCCTCTGCAAGAGTATCAAAATATGCTGCATTGAAAATCATTGAATGGAAGTCAGGCACAATCGTTTGACCCCAAAATTGATTCCAAAAACTTTGAACCGATAAGCCGGTTTAGAAAAGAGCATTGTTGTTTTATCTGCTGAATAATAAATATCGTTTAATTGAAAGCGTTTTCGTGATGACAAGGAAATTGAATCCTATCAACGAGTAAATAAATTCGCCAGCATTCATTGACACAAACAAAGAAAAAAAAAATGAAATGCCGAATGCAAATGCAAATGGAGATTAAAAAGCATTATAAATAATACCGATTGTTCTGTCCATTGTTCGTTGTTCATTGGCATTTGGCTAGCTCATAAGTGCTTTCAATTAAAGATGATTAAGCGTTTTCCATTCTATAGCCCAGGATGAAGGGCACTGCAAGACAATAAATCCCAGTTTCGTTCAACATTTTCTTGTCGTCATCTTCTCTGACTCTCTGCCAAAAGCCAATTGTTTGACAATTTAATTATTCAACACATTACGCATACGTGGTGTATGCCTGGCTGTCTGACTCTGAGTCTGAGCGTGTGTGAGTGTCTGTGAGTCGACAAGGATGTAGACATGCAATATGTTTGCCCAGATGCAGATGCCAACTTGCAACTTTCATCCAACTTTGGGGCAACTTATAATTACTTAATGTTAACTACGGAAAATGTGTCTTCAACCCCCGGACTCGGTTTAAGCAGAATTTTCTTTGAAAAAGATTAATTAAATAAATGCTATGCTACAATTCTTTTAACCCACTTTTCAGACTTGTTATCCCCCTTTTGTTAAAAAAAGGAATGTCATAAAAAATCTTTCTTTTAAAAACTAATTAATTCAGACATATGCCCCAAGGAGACTAATAATGCAAAGAAAGTAGGACATTGCAGGAGCAACAAAATTCTACATATTAAAATTGAGTTCGATTTATAAAACGCAGATTAGTAATACACTTATATTACTTAATTATTTGGAGGGGGTTCTCATGCCTTGCTTTTCTTACTTTGAATTTTGGAACTTCAAAGAAAGCAATTACAATCACAGGGATTAACATGTGTCGTCGAATCCTGAAAGGCTTTTTCTAGTCTCCAGCAGCAGTTCACAGGATTAAGGCTAAAATGCAAGAACATCGGCGACACTCCAGCAAGAGTTGTTCGGTGGTTGGCGTTGCCAGTCGGTGGTTTGGTTAAGTGTGGGTGTGCATTCAGAGCATGCTTTGTGCGAGCCTTGTTATAAAGCATTAATCAAGCATACCTGCTGGGCAGCCACGCCCGCTTTCCCCCCTGCCGTTGCGGCTTTTGCCTTTGCTTGTTTGCGGTGGCGACAACGTCGGACCACCTAACCACCCACCCGCCGGTACAGTGGCTCAGCCACCACCCATCCACCGCCATTCGAAAGGGCACTAAATTGCCGCTCATTATGATGGGCAGGCAAAACACGTATGTGCTAGTGGTGACACCTTGAAGGTCGTGATACGAGGAGTTGTTCCAAACATTTTTTAGCAGGTTTTTTCCAATCGTAGTGATTTTAAATTTTTTTACACTACCGAACGATTTACTTACAATACTACATAGAGATACCTATTTCATACAATGTGTGAAAACTTACCGAAAATAGATCCCAGGGGAGTTACTTGGTGTGTGGCTGTTTCTATTTTAGTTCATGGCACTATTTCTACACTATTTTTTATAGTTTTGTTTGTGGCCTTTTTAGGTAAATTGGGTGAGTCTCAATAATGACAAAAAAAGAATATTAACATTAATAATATAAAAACTAAAGAGTGGAGTAAAGGTCATGACGACACCAACATCGTACACATATTTATTTTTATTTTATATCTTTTAATTCAAATGACTGGTATTTTATCCGGGTGGCTCCTGATTTATGGATTACTAAAGGTAATGTAGAAAGTCCAGCAAAACAAGTTTCTATAACTTGGTATGACAGTTGGAGAAAATGTATACTTTATTTATGTAATATTTCCTTCTGCAGGAAATCCCTAGGATGCTGTTTCTAGGTAGAGTATGTGGATTCGTATTTGCATTATGTAATTTCTATACCCTCTACATAAGTAAGTGAAAGTATTTGCTTGTGTTTGCTTTATTAAGCTCTATCTTTTTAGTTATTTATTCAATATTGTCTAATTATATCTTAAGATATATAAAATATCTCAATGCCTATGAGTACTATTAGCAAATTTAAAGTATTTAAATTAAATACTTTTATTAAAATTTAAAGTATGATACAAAAAAGACTTGAAAACGAGTGAGTAATTAATTTAAATAATTACTATATTATAATATTTATTTCTTTTTAAGAACATTATTAGGAGGTCCCACCGTCACGTTACCATCACTCGCTCACATGCCAATTGGTGTACGAGTGTGTGTGTGTGGGGGCCTTTTGCAATTTTCCAGCTAAATGGCATACATTAATTAACGGTTTTGTGCGACAGACGACTCGGGTCCAGGTTCTGGTTCAGATTCGGATTCAGCTTCAGGTCCAGACCCCGGCCTTCACATTCATTTTGACCCTCACGCTCTTGGCTCACGAAAAAGATTAATGGTGCGCTATTAATGTGTAATGACAAATGTTAGTGCTCCCCCTGCCCCCTTCACCTGCCGTATGCCACGCCCTCTGGCCATCATGGCAAACGCCGCTGTGTATGTGAGATCTCACTTTGGCGCTAAATGGATTTACGTACCTCGGCCATGGTGTCCATCCATTTGCCTGAAAATGATTGAAATAAATATTTAATTAAGGCGCCGGAGTGCAGCGCCAGTCAAAACAAAGAAAAACGGCAACTTTGCTCTAAATTTTCATAAAAAATTCAATGCCACGTTCCGACAACAGCCGACAACGATATGCAATAAAGTGCGGGCGGCAAAATGTGTCACCGTGTTACAAATAAAATCCAAAGTGTGTGAAGGACTGGTAGTAGGAGGAAGAGATGCCCTTAAAAGAATTACTCTTCAAAAGTCATTTTCAGCATAAAAAAAAGGCATAATGTGATAATTGCAAAGTTTTTTTTTTTTAAGTTTTAAATTATTTTTACTATATTTTTGTAGGGTTCTGTAAATGCCGGTATACTTCGCAATCCTAAAGGAACCACATCAACATCAGCGTCAAAGTGACAGGACCAGAAGCTGGCAACTCACACGAAAAACTCTGACCAGATCGTTTCAAGGGCCAGATAGATATGGCCCAGAAATCGTAGGTATCGGAGTGGGTGGAAGAGGTGGGTTTTTCCACTAGCTGTTGTTGTGGCAAACAAGTAAATAAATGACAAACTAAAGCCAAATTAAGTAAATAAAATTGTTGCCGCTGTCAGGGACATAAAGTGACGCCTGACACGGACATGGACACGAACACGAGCAGAAACTTCCAGGCAGGACATGGGACATGGTAGCTGACAGGACACCGGTCCTGTATCTCAGTCTCACGACTACAGGACTTCAGTTGAAGCGCCCTCTGTTGTCAGAGTCATGTGACAGTCCTGAAAATGTCAACAAGTTGAATGCAACAACATGGCCAACTGAAATGAGACGAGGCCCAAAGTCAAGCCAAAGATGAGGTAAAGGCCATAGGTGCGGGCCGACTTTATGCTACATAGGCATACCATAGTATACCAAAATTGAAAAAGGTTTGATAACCCCGGAGGATTTTTAGTCCAGCCTAGACGAGCTAAAGAGAACGTTCGCGACGAGGACGAGGTCCTTCCTCGGTCGCATTGGGCAGACAAACGCTGACATGTGTCAAAACGAAAAGTGTACAATTTATCAAAGGCAACAATAACGAAAATAGAAGCAAAACCAACCATTGAGCAGATCCGGAGTGGAGACAATGAAGCCACCAAAGAATAAAGGGACATTTTCGACTATCAAATACCCGCTACTCGGGGACAGAACTTTGTTCCTTGTACACTGTAGAAAAAATACTATTCGTATTGTAATATAAGGTATTAAAAGGTAACCACAACAAACAAGACATCAACCAAAGCGTAAAGCTTTAGGGGACAAATAGAAACAAAGAGAGTTGCAGATGGACTCACAAATCCGTGTCCAAGCCAAGACAAGGGCTTAGAAGTGGTAAAAGAGGGAAAAAGTGGCCAAAGGGAAGGATCAGGGCGATGAGGAGACAGTGTCGTTGAGGACAATGGAATTGGTCAGGCAGAGATATCAGCCAAACGGAAGAGAGCGAACCGACATGAGACAAGTCCTGGTTGATGATACGTAAGCCAAGTGAAAAATCGACTCCCAAGTGGGCGACTTCTGCATGTGCTCTTGTGGGGACTCATAGTACCATTCATCACACTCCGCCCGAAAAACGAAAAAATATGAAGTGGCATGCAACTTCCGCCGAGAAGCAAGCCCAAATCTTCCTCCATTTCGTTCCTTCCGGCCTAGCTTTCTTGTGATTATTTTTGCTTATAAGGACGATGACCAGGCCTACGCAAGTGGTTTTGCCAAAAAAAATTTCAGAGTTTATCTAAGCATCAAGGTTTTAAAATTTAAATATATATTGTAACAAAAATATAAATATTTACAGAGTACATTTGGTGCGCTGCTTTGGGGAACATTTTCGTTTTAATTTTCGGTACAAATTCGTGACATTTATTTTTTGTTTAATGAGCATTTGCCCTGACTTTTTATACCGTGTGGTTTTTATTGTTTGTTTGCTATATGTTGGTTTTCCAACAACCTCCCCCTATCCAGGACCCCTTCCACTCCTGCCTTGTTTGTGTTTCATTAAGATTTTTTGTCATTGTCGAGAGCTGGCTCCTCTCGACTCGGTGCTGTGATAAAACTAATGTTGACTTTGTACTGACCCGTTTTTCTGGCATACCCTACATGTGTATATATTCATGTGCCTGAAGAGCAGCAAAAAATGGCAATAATTATAGCTGCTGAGGTCACAAAAAGTTTACATATCCGTGTGCGTATGTTTCTGTGGTCGGTTTGGTTTGGTTTGGTTTGGATTCGTATCGTTTGCTTTTCCTAGCTCTCTGTCCAAGTAAAATGCAATTACACTCGTATCTATTGCGTTCGCAATTGTTCCGCTGTCTGTGTGTGTTCAAGTTATGTTGTGCAATTTTATATTGAGGTCACTGCTGCTGACAGTAATTTATAAAATGTAGGGATGTGAAATGCTTCATCTTTCGTTGTAGCTTTCGAAAAATAAAATATAGGATGCAATTTCTTATCCTCTTTCCTCTGTAACAGTACTGCACCAAAACCATGTGCACTTGCGTCTGTATGTAGTTCTACCTCATCCTTATAATAATATAAACCTAGTACCGGTGCTTCTATGAGCTTCTTTTTTAGCATTTCGAAACAATCTAACTCTTTTTCTTCAAACACGAATTCGCAATCTTTTTTCAACAAATCATATAATGGTTTTGCAATCCTCGAAAAATCCTTTATGAATCTTCTAAAATATGAACACAATCCTAAAAAGCTTCTAACTCCATGCACTTTATTGGGGACTGGAAAATCTTTGATGGCTTCAATTCCTTTATCATTTGCTTGTATTCCTTTGCTCGACACCAAAAACCCTAAGTACTGAACACTCGCTTGTAAAAATTCACATTTATCCATTCTTAGTTCTAATTTGTTCCTTGCTAATCTTTCGAAAACTTCTTTAAGTACACTCAAATGCTCTTCAATTTCTTTACTTGCGATCATAATATCGTCCATGTATATAACCACTTTTCCTTCTCTTATCATGTCTGCAAAAATTTTATTGATAAATCTTTGAAACACCGCTGGTGCGTTTTTTAGGCCCATTGGCATTCGCATAAATTCAAACTGCCCTAGCGGCGTCATAAATGAAGTATATTTAATTGATTCGTTCTCCACAAACACATGAAAGTATCCATGTTTAAGGTCTAATTTCGAAAATATAGTCTTATTTACTAACGTGTCCAATAAATCATCAATTAAGGGTAATGGATAATTATCCTTAATCATTGTCTTATTAAGCTTCCTGTAATCCACACATAATCGCAAATCACCTGTTTTTTTCTTGACTAACACTATTGGAGATGCATATTCTGATTCGCTTGGCCTAATAATTCCCTCTTTTAAATATTCGTCTAGTATGCTCTGTAACTTTTCTCTCTCTGTATAAGCTAACCGTCTTGGAGAACTACTAAAAGGTTTCGAGTCATCCAACCTCAACTTTATTTCACACTTAACTTCTGGTTCCCTTGGTCTTTGCTTATTAACATAAAAATTTTCTATAATTTTAATAAATTGTTGTTTAACCTTATACTCAATTTGTTCACCAATTTTGTATTCTACAGATTCATCTTCAATATTAATATTCATCAGTTCCTTTTCCACTACATTTATATCAAATTTCATTGCTTCTTGTAACCTCACTTCATTTCTAATCTTTTGTTTATTACTCATTATTACTTCTTTTTCCTCTTCCGATTTCCGATTTTCATCATTAAACTTACTAACATCACTAACTATTTGCTCTTCATTACTAACATCATAACTGTCTTTAATATTTTCTAAATTTTCTACCGTAACCATCTTCAAGGTGTCAAGGTTCAGATTTAAATCACATGCTTCCATAAAATCCCTTCCCAGAATTACATCATGACTCATAGATTTGTTTGCCACAACAACTAAATGAAAATGTACTTTATTAAATTTTTTCTTTATATAACATAAAATTCTGCCATAAGTTTCCAAATAACTTTCATTTATTCCATGATACGAACTTAAAACTGGCATCTTACAAATATTTTCTGGTACTTTAGAAATTTTTATGAATGAAATTGGGCTCCCTGTATCTATGAGGCATTCTGTAATTAATCTGGTATTAGTGTTATTCTTAAAGTAAATTTCAAAATACCTTACATAATTGTTCTTGACCTCGCTCTTAGCTTTGTTCTTTCGGCACTTAGCCACAAAATGTCCCATCTCGCCACATGCATAGCACGACCCTTTCTCTCGTCTCGGCTTCCTGCACTCCTTCGCCCAATGTCCTCGAGCATTGCAATTATAGCAACGCATGACCTTGCTGTCCTTCTCGTCTCCGTTCGCTGCTGCCTCTTTCCTTCCAACATACAATTTCGGCAACTCCACATCCGCAAATGCACGTTTGATGTGTGCGATATTTTCAAAGCACTGAATATGTGCCTGATTTCGTAGCCCTTGATTGGGGATTCCTTCGATGATGCGACTTATCATCTCCTCTGTATCTAAGTCGATTCTTTGGCCAAGCATCACTTTGTCGTCAACGTAGCTTCCAAAACTCTCACCGGAACTCCATTTCCGGTTCTCGAATTGACGCCTTGCCTCTAATTTCGAAACTTTATCCGAGAACATTGAAATTAGTTCCGCGGTTAGCTCCTCCAGCGGTAGCATGATACGCTCCGGGTTTGCATGTAGCCACACGTTGGCTTTTCCCTTTATTTTAGTAATCATCAGCATTTTAATGTATTTTCCACTAACACCATAAATGGTTGCAATATTGTTCATTTGCGTTATCCATTTTCGTGCGCAAGTTTCGCCCGAAAAATCACTCATAACTTGTGTTGCCATGCCCAATGAAATGTCGATGCTTGGGTTGTGAAATTCCGTAAACTCCGACTTCGCAACGTTGCCTGATTTCACTTCTTCAGTGGCGCCTTCTTTTGCGCCGCTGCTGCCGGCTTCATTCCTGTCACTGCGTGCATGATCTCCATCTTTGTTCTCTCCCTCGCCGCCGTCGCTTTTGTTGTTTTCGTCGCCGCCATGGTCGTTGTTTCTGCCGCTGTCGCTGTTGTTGTTTTCGCCGCCGTCGTGGTCATTGTTTCTGCCGCCGTCGCTGCCGTTGTTTTCGCCTCCATCTTTGCTGTTCCTTCTGTCTCCGCCTTTTCCGCTTTGATCGCCGCCAATTTTACTCTTATTTTTATCGCCATCTTTTCCTTTAGCTCCACCTCCGTGTTTGTCGTTTCCTTCGCCTCTGACTTTTTCGTTTTCTTGTACTCCAGCTTTGTCGTTGTCGTTACCTCCGTCTGCGTCGCCATTATCATTGTCATTTTCTTGGCTTCCTAATTCCAGATCCTCTTCATATACGTCTTCATCGTTGATTCCATCGCCGTCTTCGTCTTGATTCATGACTGATTTCAGATAATTACGCTTTTCCGTCGAAATTTTGTTTAAACGCAATATTAATTCGCGCTTGTTTCCCGTGGTTGGCAACCGTAACACATTTAGCCACCTTTTTAACTGCGCGATTGATGCGTTGTTCATGTCCATGATTTTTGATTTATTTAATTGTTTAATTGGCACGAGATCGGCCCACTTCTGATTTTGTAGGGATGTGATAAATACCCCAAGTAGAACACCAACACTTTGATTTTTATGTTTTATCTTTATTAGTCTTGACTAGATCCGATCTTAAGCGCTGCTGGTGTTCGACTGACTCCGCTCTCAACTCATGATCAGCATCAACCCTCATTACTCGCTGAACAAGCAATGAGAGCGTGAGAGCACAAGAGAGAGAGAGAGAGCCCGAACCGACAACAGTTTACCGTTATGCGATACACTTATAGCTAACACATATATATATACAACAGTAGCAATCCTGCTACAAAAAGTTTTGTTTATTTTCCTCAGCTCCCCCATGGTCGCCGCGCAAGAAAAAAAGGTCAAGAGTTTTGCTCATTTGTAGTCACTCGATGCTGGCTGTGGAAGGAGAATGAGATTAAACTGGAATTATGTGGCAACAAAATAAAGCTTTGAGTCTGCAGAAAATAAAAGCTAGAGTAATAGACTCATATAAGTTTCATTTTCTTTATGGCATCTTAGATAAGGATAATTATTTATAAGAAAACAGCTCAACATTGATGCTATGGAATATTTCAGGGATATCTTATAAAATTATTAAATACTTAAGACGACTAAGATTTCCACCAAAAATACTTGGAATACTTGAATACTTAATGATTCAAAACGTTTTCGAAAATTTTCGGAGAAATATCCTTCCAAACTTCTCGCTGGCGCCATCTACATACTCGTTGAATTGAAACTCCCATTTATTCTCTTACTTCCAGTGCGCAGACTCAACATATCGGAGTTGGAAAACTGTTTCTCATTCAGCTACGGAAAATCTGGCTAGCCCTAAAGCCATTTATTCTTCACTTGAAACATGAAACATATGGGAGAAGGATGTGAAGGCGGCTCTAAAGGTGGGCGTCCTTTCAAAGGATTCCAAAACACTCGCTTTTGTTGGGGATTTATATTTTAATGTCCAAATTCATAAAAAGAATATATATCCGAGCAAATAAACGTAAAAAATATTAATAAAGATTTTGTTGGAGAGAGCGTAAAACTGATTGCGAGGCAGTTAAATTTTTAGGGTCGGCCTTATCCTTAAAGTGTGGCATTATTTTCAGCCGGCTGTTTGCATCCTTCGGTGTATTTAAGCGGGCTATGAAATATGCATGAGAATCTGTCTGACTGACCGATCCCCATTGAAATGCGGATGCAGAAGTTCGGAAACCAGAAGCGTCAGCTGTCGGGAAAATCGGGGGACAAGGCCAAAAGTCGTCGAACTGTAAAAGCGGCTCAAACCAACTATAACCACCCACAGGACCCAACATTTTCATATGTTTGGCCTGCCAGCCAAGTGTGTAAAAGTATTTTTCGCAAAAATATACGTTTTCGCCCGTTGCGAACTTTATTAATATTATTTTTATGATTATTATTGCGGCCCTGGACGTGAGCTGGCATAATTACCCCAACGATAACCTGTCCGAAATTGGCCAATCGCTGTGATAATAAAAACGCATGAATGCCAGGGCGACTCTTCTGCGCATGGAAACGCCATGGACATCGACAATATTTTAATTAACTTAATTAAGCAATTTTTATTTGCCCACAGCCAGGTGAGGCTGCAACAGAAGCAGGACACTTGGCCCCATTGTTTGCCTTGTGATGAACTCGAATGAACATTATGAATGCAGAAATTAACCCAAAAAGGCTTATATGATGTTCTGTCAATGAAAGGTCTTGTTAAAGGGACAGCTCTTTTTAAAGGAAGGACTGGGGGTGTTTGTTTTAAAGGTTTTAGCTGGAAATATTTCAAACTAATTGGTTTGAAAATAGCTAAGGGAAACCTATTTACGCCAAAATCAATAAACAAATTGGTGAGCAATAAATTTAATAGATCATTGGTGTATAGGCGTTGAGTTTTGAATTTGGCAAGGCAAATTCTAGCATAGTTTGTAGTCGTGTGTTAGCTTAAGGTTGTAACTGGTTTTGTGTACTGAACTATCGAACGGAAACTTCTAAGCCGCCAGGCATCTATCCACCATTTATTTGTGGAGGTGGGATACTGCACTGCGCCTTGAGCTTGAAACAAAGGTTTTTGTGTTTTCTTGAATATTTGTGGTCTTCGGTCCTTTATCAAAGACTAGCCGCTCTTGAAGAGAAGAATGGCGACTTGACCCAGATAAAAGTAGATAAAGTGACGGGTCTCATGAGTTACATACGACCCGAAGTTGCGGCCCACAATGCAGTGCCAGGTGGGGTTATACTTCTTGTCGAACTCCTTCTTGACATAGGCAGCAATGTCCTTCTCGATATTGTACTTCTCCAGAGCCTGGGTGGCGCAGTCAACAGCATCCTGCTGCATCTCCTCGCTCATGTCAGCATTCTTGATCACAGCCTTGCGATCCGACATCTTGAATCTTTTTCTAAGGCAGCCTCTTTACGAACTTATTTGTTTCTGTAGAATTAATAATTATTAAATAGCCATTTGTATTTCCATCTTTCAATGACTTGCCCTTTAAATTGCGACGTCGAGCTCTAGAACTCTCCTGTTCCCTTCACCTGGTGTTTAGCTCTGATATATTTTTTTGTCTAATAACTCTGTGCTTTTAGGGGTTTGACAGTTAAATCATTGTTACTTTCAATTTTATCAAAGCAAACAAATATGGTGGTGATGGGAAACTAACATGTTATCGAGATGAATAACTTCAGTAAGCTTCATTACTTATTCAACACTATTTTTAGAACATGGGCTTTTTACATTAAATAATTTAAATTATGAAATATTTGGTGTATTATATGGTGTATATAGTATTATATAATAATATTTTAGAAAATATAAATCTTAAATAATACACGATTCAAATTAAGTCCCACCTCATTTTTGAACACAACATTTTATATCTTCACCTATTACTTCACCATAACTTCACTATTTTTAGAACATGAGATGAATAACACTTGAAAAATTGCTTCAAATTTAAAATATTTCCAATTTAGGAAGATATAGATTAACGCTCGAAAATAATATTCCAGTAGTTGATATATTTACCGCCCATTAGACCGATTTTAAACACTGTCCCGCCCCTGTTCACGCGATGAATATGCAAATGGCGGAGTATTGGGGGAAAAGCTTAAGCTCTCTGAGCTCAGAACGCCATCAAATCACAATCGCATGACATGGGTTGGATGCCGGAATTTGCACTTAATATGAAATTCGTTAATTTCCTTGCTGTTCCTGTTTCCATATCCTCCCAGCAAAAGGTTGTTAAATTCGATTAGACATGCAATCAGCGCACGAGACTTCACCTGCGGAGGGTAAAATTTTAGATTGAATTTTAATAATAGCATTGCGCGGACACTAATCAAGTAATGCAACCAATTTGGTAAGGGATTGCTGCTTTAACACACACACACAATCAAGCACACTCTCATGTTTGTGTGAGCCAAAAACGACAACATTGTGAACAAATTTAGCTTGTTCTCCTAATGAAAACGCTAATTTAGTGGACACACGCTAACTTCCTGGCCGAGACTCTTTTGGGCTTTAGCCTTTATTGTCTAATTTATGGCATGACCGTAGTAGCGCTTGAATAATGGGTTCACTCTGCATCCGGCTTCTTTCTTCAACTTAACACTTTGTTCGATGATTATAAGCCTATTAGAATTTTGAAGGTAAATCCGGAAATTCAAAATCATTGCTTAAAAATATAAGCTTTAAGAGGTTAATCTACTACTGCAGCGCTTTAATAACTTTTAAAATAGCTCAGACTTTATTTGCAACACTCTCGAAGGCACCTTTCAAGTGGAATGCCTCTTCAGTTCCCCAATAAATACCCAACAAAAGTTGCACTCTGCTTGAGCTGCATTTTCTGACAGGCCTCAATGGCGAAAATGAAAAATAACTTCATAACCGCATGTTAAATCTTGGCCGCCCTGCCACGCCCCCTCCTTCCTGCAGAGCCAGGCGGGCGGGCTTTGTGCCACATCCGCAGAGCACAAGCAACACAATCGCACAATATTTCCGGGCAAAGGTAATAAATAAATTGCATACGTAATTAAAATCGACGACTCTGCTGCACAGGACTCTGGTGCTCTGCTCCTTCGACTTGGGCCACTCCTTCTTCTTCTGATGCAGGCGCCCGGCAATTGTTATAGCAATTACACCAACGGCAACAACAATACCAACAACAGGAACAAAAGTTTTCCGACTTGGCTTAAATATGTGTGTGTGTGTGTGCGTGTATGTGTGATTGCGAGAGTGTGCTTCCCCTTTAACGTCAACTGTATTTCTTTTCCTATTTTCCCACTCTGCTTTTTGGCTTTTGTTGCCGCTGTTGGCAGCTCTTTTGTTTTTTCCTCAAGTTGCATGCGAACAACAGGGAAATGGTTAATGGAGGTGATGGGGCAAATGGGGAAATGGGCTGGAAGGTAACCAACGCGGCGTTGAGTTCCCTTCCTTAATCCGGGCATATCTGGGATTATATTGGTTTTCTTTAAAGGTGAGGCAGCCATACCCTCAGCTAACCATATATTCCACGCAAATCTTAACATGGCTTTAAATATTATCTTAAAAATGGTCTTCCAGCCCCTAGGAATATTTTATGCGTAGGGCATTCAACTTTTCGACTCTTAAAGTAGTAACTTGTTTGCTTTTAATTTGCCTTCATGAGCAATCAACGTCACCGTCATCGTCCGTCTTGCTTGTTCAACAATTTGCATGACAAAAGCCCCGACTGGGCCCCTGAATACCCGTATGTATCATCCGCGATTCTGTATTGTTGTTCTCGTATTTGACAAGGGCCGAGTAAAGTTTAAAAAGGAACTCCAAAGATGATTGAAAGATTCGGTTACAACATGTTAAAGGCCCCGGCTTTAAGATAAGAGTTGTAAAAAGCATAAATGCGCTTGTTGCTGTCGTCAGGCAAGCCATTAAAAAATCAAAACAAGTTAGCGGCAACGGTAAGCGAACTAGCCGAGGCGATGGCGATGGCGAGAGCCGAACCGGAAACCGGAAGCGAGAACAGGGCTCAGTGCCGCAAGTTTGCGGTGGCGGCATGCGGTGTGTGCAGGAAGTAAATACACACACACACACACACAGCTGTATACAAGCTTACACAAAAACTGAGCTAGGAGCCCAACCAGGACTCAGGGTTGTGGTTTCACGCTTAAAAAAATTATTTTACTTAAGCTTTAAGATAAAAAAAGATACCTAAAAGTTAGCTACACCCGGTACTCCTACCGAAGTCTTTTATAACATTTCTAATGTATTCTTTAAAGTTAATGACAGGATAGACAATTATAGACTTGTCACATAATATTTCTCCTAGTGCTGGATCCAATACATGTCCTGTGGCTTCATATGCGCGCTAAAAAAATAAAGATTATATGAAAAGGTCTCTTGTGGTCTGGGGCTGATGGTTGTTTGTCTGTTTCTGCTTCGTGTACGACTTGTGTTGACAACGGTGACCCTTGTACGATACGCGGAGCAGGACAACAAACAAGGTCCTGCCAGTGTCGCCTTTGGGGCAACAAGTCATCGAGAACAGGAACCGAGTAGCAAGGCCATAACTCTGTTTAAAAACCTTCAAAATTGTTGAGGCACTCGCCTTGCCCTTGGCCAACTTGAATTCTACTCTCCACTTGGCTGGGGCAGATGTCAGCGTTTTGGCATTATAATGCCATTAACTTTGCCATAATTCAGTGCAGCAACGCAGCTTCAGAGCGACAATTTATGCATAATGAGCACGGTCTTGTCCCGCATCTTGCTCTTTGCCACTGCAACTGGCAACCCAGTGAACATACTGCCAGGACGAAAGCGTTGCCTTCCAAAAATAAATACAAATGTGTTTGCCCAGAAGTCTGGACTCCATCTGAGCGGAGTCAAGCTTGATGGTTTCACCTGTTGAGACTCAGTCTCAGTCGATTGTTGGCTGGGTGAAGAGGCTGTCCTTTGGAAATGAGCTTCTTGTTTGCAATGTCGCCCGCTGGGTAACTAACTGTAGTCAGCAGTAGTTGGCAGAGTCATATAGCCATGGCCATGTATAGCTGGCAGCAACCTGACATCCACTAAGCCAGCCCGGCCATATTAGCAGGAATAAATGGAAGCTACTGGTGCCGTGTGTGCACCAAGGCAGGTGCAATTTCTTGGAAACTTCAAACAGAGCGCAGAGTTCGGGCTCGGTTTGGTTAACTCATAACTTATACTGGCTGAGGGCTTAAATTTCCTTCAACGAATATTTTTTTAGTTATTTGCATTTCATGGTTTTCGGGGTTTTTACACACGATTCCAAAAATTTATGACGCCACAGACTCGCACAGAGAAGAGGGTACTGGGGGAATATATTCACATTCTGCATATTTGCATTGGCCAAATTAATTTTCCTGCCATATTTACATTTTCCTCTCGCATTTGGCTCTTTCTCTGTCTGCGTGTGTGTGTTACTGTGTGCTTTGCACAAACTCACAAACATATTTGGTTAATTAAAAATGGCTGCAAAATTATTTGACTTTTATCGTAAAATGCCTGTTGCTGGTTTAGGGCCAAAACTCAGCTTGAGGTCTCGTGTTGATTATATTAAACTCATATTTCTCATACCGTAAATAAATCATTTCTGTTTGGTATTCCATGGATTAGGGTCGGATGTGAAAAATTAAATTATTAGATGCTTAAATTGACGTCCACCTAGGATGAGAGGATGAGAGAAAACCTATTTGCTTTCCATTAGGAATATTTATTCCTCTTTTGACTCTTCCTGATCCAAGTTAAGAAGTTTAAGGGCTAAGAATGCATTGCCGGGCAAATAGAAGAAAAATACCAGCACATGCCATTGTTTGCATGTCCTTTACATACTTGTGAAAACTGTTTTTCCTTCCACTTTCGAGTGCATCGGAAAACTTTCACATTTGTCTCTGTCACAGAGGCACCGATCAAAGTTTTCGGCTTCAATTTCTGCATGCACTTCAAACACTCAATTGGCATGTGCCGGCCGAACATACGATTCCCATTTTTCTTATCTCCCAGTGCTCCTCTGGGGATATATGTGTATTTTTTTTATCCTGTTGATATTTCAATTTGAAAAGTTTGGCTCAGTTTTCTCGGTGTTGTCAGCTTTTCGATTAAAGTTTAGCATGCGGCAGATTAAAAACTTTCCCATCCCAAGTTGCGTCAACTTTTGTTCTCTCTTGCATTTTTCTGTGGCATTTTTAACATTTCTTGGCTACATTTGCAGGTCCTTGGTGGCATTTTGCATTCACTTGCCAAATGGCACAAAGACAAGCCACATAAAGTAAATGTGGGCATTCAATGGGTTACTGGAACGCCCATACAGTTCGCAACTGTTTCAGTTAAAGCCAACTTTTCAAAATCTCTTCCCTTGCTCTCAACTTTAAAGTGAAAACATACACATTTTCAAATGCTGACACCCCAAGAAAAGCATTTTCCTTTTAACGTCATTTACGACTT